AAAGGTGCACATGTGGCTTGATGTACCATTGTTGTAATTACATATAAAACTTCATCTATACTCTAATAAAAAGTTTCCCAGGCCAATGAAGATCACCTTAATACCAAAAAAAATTTTTTTTTAAAAATTAATTTTTTTGATTTTTTAAAGCCTTTAATAAATGTACTACCAGTAGTACAAAGGTGTAAATCCAATCCATTAACATGAAATAATGTTTAAATATGTAAAATATAAGACATTAAGTAATTAACTTGTACGTTTTTAATATAGTTACACTACTTTCAAGTGGACATGAAGTCCAATATGTGTCACTTTGTAATATTCTTTTAATTATTCAACTAAGACCAGAAGTCTTAAGGAATAATATAAAAGTCTTCTTTTATAAATACAACAATCCAATATATGTCAAGTTGGCTAAGCTTGAAATAATGTTTCGCTTAGCTAATGTTGACCAAGCTCTATCTGAACTAAAAGAGTGAGTTAAAAATCGTTATATATATTCAATATTATTTTAAACAATTTAATGGCTTTAACCTAATTATAAGTTTATGCTTTTAAAAATTAGATATGCAACCGAAATTGATGTATCTGTTCGTTCAATTGGTCGTCTAGCAGTCAACGACTGATTGTTGTATATCTGCACTATTAGAGCTTATACAAACGAAAATTAACTATGTAGTTCAAGAGGCCATTGTAGTCATAAAGGTATGCTTGTGTCATATATTATTTTAAAATCCATTCGACAAATAATTTACATATAATTATATAGGATATATTTCGGAAATATCAAACCAATATAAGAGTATAATCGGTATTTTATGTGAAAATTTAGATAATCTATATGAACCTGAAGCAAAAGCAACAATGATATGGATTATTGGTCAATACGCTGATAGGATTGAGAATTCTGATGTATTATTAGATGGCTTTCTTTTTACATTCCTGTAGAGGTATTAATACAAAATTATATATAAAGTTTATATCTGATTGATGATTGACTTTTTCAAAAAATTACATGCTCAATTATCATTGCTAACAGCCACTGTAAAACTTTTCATTAAAAAGACCTATTGCTGGTCAAGAACTAATTCCTAAAGTTCTAAATAGGCAACATGAGATGTTGATAATCCAGATTTACGTGACCGAGGATATATTTACTGGCGTTTATTAACAACAGATCCTGTTACAGCTAAGGTGATATTCCTCGAATTTTATTAGATATATTACAAAAAATGACATTTTACTCAAATATATTATTAATTTACAGACTGTTGTATTATCTGATAAACCGCAAATTTCTACTGAAAGCGATAATATGGAGCCTGCGTCACCTCAAACCTTTATTCCAAATGGTAAAATTCGGGTTTAATCTACTCGCCAGTTCTAAATTGAAGGTATCCCGGACAGCAACAACAACAGCCTAATTTACTCGATTCTGGTATCGATAATTTAGCGTATGTCATTCATTATAAATTGCATCGTTGCAAAATAAATATCGTTAATTAAAATTATTATTTCACAGATCTCTTGGAATCAATCCTAACCCTTGCAATGTGGATGTTGAAAATTATGTTGGAGATTTATTATTAGATTTGTAATCAATTTATTATAATTTAATTTGTACAATCGTTTTATTGTCAAAGTATATTTAATAGATCTAAAATTATTAAATTGGGTGTCAAAAAAAAAAACTCACCAATTCTTTAAATCAAATCTTGTCAATTGGGCATCTAAAAAATATTATTTTCAGTCTTTAAATTACAATAAATAATTGATACAAATATATTTCCTCTAGAAAATTTATTTAATGTAAATAAATTTTTATATTCATTAACCATTAAGTTTTTTTTTCAATTAAGATTATATTACTATAACTTTAAATTAATTGATTTGCATTATCCCATAAATGCTAATATACCCCTTATTGTTTATAATTTTATAATTATTCCAATACTTTTGAGAGTTGCATACATGTGATATTTCTAGTGCACACTCTATAAATTCTCTAAATCCATGGTATAGCTTGGGTCCTCACTTATAAGAGACCTAACTATACATTTTCTATTTATAGATGTAAACCCTCTCTAAATGACATTTTCGTCTTTTTTTATGGTCTCGAGGGTGTTACTATCTTTTTTAAAAAAAATTAGCCAGCTATAACTCTTTTTAAGAGAAAGGAAGTCAATTTAACCAAATCCAATTCCAAAATTTCATATTTGTCCTGTGATCAAAGGTTGAGAGCATCTTTTGGCTACCTAACATTAATCCCAAATATGCTCTGCATCTCCGAAATATAATGTTGAGAATAATTAAACTGGTTCTTAGATAATTGACCATGTCTTAAACCGCCATCAAGCCAGTCTATTTTGGATAATCTTTATGATATATATAATACTCTTTCAGTACAAAAAATCTATATCCCATTGAGATTCATAACAAACCTCATAATAAAATAACAAAGTGTACAATTGATGTGCAAGAAAAATGTTTGTTTTAGTTGGACCGTAGCCTAAATATGGAACAGTTATATAAACAATACCTTGGCGAAATAAATTTCGTAATTCAGAAATAGCGTTTGGAAATTTCCCACGATAGCTTTCGAGTAATGCAACACATGGAACCACGAAAGCAGTTGGACGGGATAATTGTTGTAATAAAGGAATTAATGTAGAAAATGCAAAATGGTAAATTAAGAAGTTTGAACAAAATCTGCATCCATAACAAAAATATAATCCGTTGGTGCCGATTTGACTCAATATTTTGAAGATGGTTAATTGGATATTTTAAATAGTGATCTGTTGATTAATTATCATTAAAGAAACACGATTATAAAGATAGATATCCGAGCTGAATCCAGCTCTACCCACAAGGTAAGTTGTCTTTTTTTTTTCAAGATAACCTTTCTTGGAGCTCTAATAAAACTTGTAGAGCTGATTTTTGGTTCTAATGGTAGTAAGATCATTAAAATTGGCCTGGTAGTTGCTGAGATATCTTAGTTTTTCTCTTTACAATCATATAAAATTTCTTTAAAATTTTTAAAGAAATTTTATATGATTGTAAAAAGAAAAATTAAGATACTCGGCAACTACCAGGCCAATTTTAAAAATCTTACTACCATTAGAACCACAAAAATCAGCTCCAAGAAAGGTTATCGTGAAAAAAATATAATTTACCTTGTGGGCGGAGCTGGATTCAGCTCTATTATAAAGCTTATATTAGATTCCCCAACTTTTATTATAACAATACTATTTTTTACAAAAGAATCACGAATTAATAGTTTTTTTTTGGCAGTGCTATATCACCCGTTTATACCTACCATTTATAAAGAAAAAAATAATCACATTCAACCCTTTTTTACTTGCAAGTAAATTCTAAACCATCAGTAAAACAACTAAATAATTAGCATTGCCACTCTTTGTTTCCTTTTGTTTGAATAAAGGTTTACAAACTTGTCAAAACTGGTTCTAGCCTCAAAGCCATCAACGGAAAACATTTTCTCAAATTATACGTAGAACAAGCGTATGCCGAACTATTAAATCCTGATCGTTGATTGGCCAATAAGGTTTGCCCCGATTGAATTTGGTTAAAATCCCGAAAAACGGATCCCCGAAAGAACGTAATACCGACAAAGTTAGCCGGCACTAGCCATAATGCTGGCCAAT